TGTTTTCAACAATTTATATCCAAATTGTAACAAATCTAACCAGCAAAGGCACCAGAAACAAAGTTCTCTTTTTATTCCCCGACTTTGACAGCTAATTTGACAGCTGTCAAAATCTTCTGTATCTCTTCAACAGGCTCTCTCGCGGATCACTCCCGGTTCCCGGGGGGTTGCACTTCAGCTCTCAAAATCAACTCTTATCCTCCAGGAAAATTACTTATACTTTCCAATCGTGAAATTAAAAACTTTTATCCAATAAAGAAAAGGCTATCCTCTCAACCTTAGTTATCTAGTCCTTGCTTTAAGTTGTTTACAAGGCGGGGAGACGGACTTCCTCTTTGCGCCTTCCCCGATCGTGCCAAATCCAAAAAGAAAATTTCCCTTTTAAGTCCAATTTCCGTATTACTCACGGGTTGTTACTTTTAATCCGAATGTTCAAAGGAAGAAGTCAGCGCTCTCCGTCCATGGCATGCGGCTTCACTCAGCAGGGGAAGCAGAGGACTCTCAGCACCGCGCCGCTCCCCGTCCCCCGTTCCGTAGCCTTTAAAAAGGCTCCTTCGCGGGTCGGGGGGCGCAAATGGTGCCCACCGAGTCACCAAGTCCACGGGCTTCCGCGCCGGTGGTTTTTAAGGGTCCCCGCGTCGCCGCCGCGGCAGGACCCGACCCCTGCTGAGCTGATTCCCTCCGGAGCTCGGAGGGAATCCGCCATTAGGCAATGGCGCTAACCCGGAAGCACAAAGGAGTCTCCACAGGCTTTGATCAAATGCCAAATGGCCACTTGGGCAAGATGAATCTCCAGCCACATCTTTGTACGTGAGAGGTAGGAAGGGAGGAAATCAAAAGTAGTGATGTTATTCCTCTATAGGCTGCTATTGAAGGTCACTCCTCTTAGTTGCTGCAATGTACCTTGTTCCACCCACCCCACAAATAAACCAATTCCCTTTTTAAAAAATAGGCCTGTTAAGTAGCATCTGTGTGGAGACAGCATTGACATAGTTGGCATAACAGAAATCTGGTGGAACACAGAGAATCTGTGTGACACAGATTCAGGTAGGTAGCCGTGTTGGTCTGATGCAGTAGAAATAGATAGATAGATAGATGATAGATTAGATAGATAGATAGATGATAGATAGATAGATAGATAGATAGATAGATAGATAGATGATAGATAGATAGATAGATAGATAGATAGATAGATAGATAGATAGATAGATAGAGTCCAGTAGCACCTTAGAGACCAACTAAATTTGTTCTTGGTATGAGCTTTTGTGTGCATGCACACTTCTTCAGATACACTGAAAAAGAAGTCACCAGACCTTTATATATAGTGAGAGGGTGGGGAAGGGTATTACTCAGAAGGGTTGTGGGAATGGGTGAAAGGGAAGAATCCAAAACAGAAGGCATTGTAGCAATGGATGAGTTCAACTACCCTCACTATTTTCTTCCATGATAGTTTTGCAAACAAGTAATGGTGGTGGGGGCGGGGGCTTTACCTTCATAAACATTGTCCAGCCCAAAATGAAGCACATTGATATTTCATTATTTATAATATTTATAAGTTGCCCCATAACAGGATGTTTTCCAGGCAGCTTTCCAACCACAGAATAAAGCAAATTAAAATTCATTGATGGCAAAATAAAAGTGAGGCACAGGTCAAATCTGTGTCCAGGGCAGCTGTTTACCAGCTCCATCTGGTATGCAGGCTGAGACCCTATCTGCCTGCGGACTGCCTCGCAAGAGTGGTGCATGCTCTGGTTATCTTCCGCTTGCACTCTACATGGGGCTACCTTTGAAGGTGACCCAGAAACTTCAACTAATCCAGAATGCGGCAGCTAGACTGGTGACTGGGAGTGGCCGCTGAGACCATATAACACCGGTCTTGAAAGACCTACATTGGCTCCCAGTATGTTTACGAGCACAATTCAAAGTGTTGGTGCTGGCCTTTAAAGCCCTAAACGGCCTTGGTCCAGTATATCTGAAGGAGTGTCTCCACCCCCATTGTTCTACCCGGACACTGAGGTCCAGCACCGAGGGCCTTCTGGCGGTTCCCTCATTGCGAGAAGCCAAGTTACAGGGAACCAGGCAGAGGGCCTTCTCGGTAGTGGCACCCACCCTGTGGAACGCCCTCCTATCAGATGTCAAAGAGAACAACAACTACCACACTTTTAGGAGACATCTGAAGGCAGCCCTGTTTAGGGAAGCTTTTAATGTTTGATGTGTCACAGTATTTTAATATTTTTTTGGAAGCCGCCCAGAGTGGCTGGGGAAGCCCAGCCAGATGGGCGGGGTATAAATAATAAATTATTATTATTATTATTATTATTATTATTATTATTATTATTATCATCATCATCATCATCATCATCATGGCACAAGGTATGACTCAAGAAATCTAGAACAGTGTTACAATCTAGATTTACAAGCTCTGATGGAGAGGGCGTCCCAGAACTGAAATGCCACCACTGACAAGTCCTTTTCACTAATAGCCACCTGTGTTTTTCATTTGATGAGGCAGCTAACAAAGCATAGCTGTTCCTATCCAAGTAGGGTCAGCAGGTGAGCCACCAGCCAAAGCTGATGGAAAGCACTCCATGTCATGGAGACTATTTGCATCTCCAGCAGCAATGATCGATTCAGAAATACCTGTAAGCTGCCAAATTGATGTCTCATTGTGACTTGATCCAGACATGTTGCCCACATGTTTGGATGAAGAACACAGCAGTGTCTCTGTTTTATTTGGATTGAGCTAAATACTGTAGCAGAATGCTACATTTAAATATATTATTATTATTGGAGGGAGTGGGCTGTATGCCAAGACCCTTCTAATTTCTAGATCCAGCAATAATCTAAGGAAGGATTCAAATTGTTGGAATAGCCACATCAGTTTCTTGATATTGGCACTCTAAATATGGGTTGTTAAGGTGACAAAGGAAGTGGTTGTCTGCCAGATGACAAATGAGTGGGAGGCCATCCCTCAACTCGCTAATACTTAGAAAAGGGCCAGAGGTGAGGGTGTTGGGTTTTTTGGTGTATGCAAGTGTAATGGTTCTAGGGGTTGCTCGTGCGTAAGTTGCCGCCATTCCTGGCTAGGTTACCTGGTTGAACCCTTTCTGTCTGGACAGCCTCTAGCTTTGTGGCTGTCTCAGTCGCTGGCAGTTCCCTGACATCCACCTCCCCCCCAGGACCCCCTCTACCCCCGGCCCGACTTTCTGATCCAACCTCGTCCCTTTCCTCGGCCGACGATGCGGGAAATCCCCTGAAGGAGCTGTCGCCATCCTCTGAGGATTCAAAACCCACTTCCCACCCGCTCCGATCTCTTCCCGCGGGGTGGGCTTCCCAGTCTGATTCTTCTCCCTCTGACACCTCCCCTCCCTCCTCTTCGGAGGCAGGAAAACCCACAAAGTCCTCTTCGTCGTCTGTGGTTCCAAATTCTTCCTCCCAGAATCTCGCTAGTGGTTTTGGTTTATCTGGGAACAGGCTGTGGAATTCTTCCACTAGATAGAGAGTTGCCTGCATGCCGAAGCCTGCGCACGCTGAGCTCAGTGCGTCCAGGCTTCGCGGACCTCTCCGCAAGCAGCGGGAGCCAGCGCTAGGCTCCCACGGCTTGCAGAGAGCTGCCTGTTTGGGTGCTGGGGTCAGGGGAAGCTCAGGCCTCCCCCACCCCAGCCCTGCGCCTGGGGGGAAAATAATTTTTTCCCTTTATTTCCCCCCCAAAAAACTAGGTGCGCCTTATGGGACGGTGCGTCCTATAGGGCGAAAAATACGGTAAATTTGCCCATTCCCTTGCATTTTAGTTCACTGATGCCCAAGATGACAATATTTATTCTTGCCATCTCATGCTTGACCACATCAAGCTTACAATGATTCATAGATCTTACATTCCAGGTTCCGATGCAATATTTTTCTTTACAGCATTGTACTTTCTTTTCACTTCCAGGCATATCTGCAACTGAGCTACATTTTGGCTTTGGCCCAGCCACTTCATCAGCTCTGAATCTACTTGTACTTGTCCTCCGCTCTTCCTCAGTAGCATGTTGGACACCTTCCGACCTGAAGGGCTCATCTTCCAGCATCATAACTTTTATATGCCTGTTGTTATTGTCCATGGAGGTTTCTTGGCAGGGATACTGGAGTGGCTTGCCGGTTCCTGCTCCAGGTGGATCACGTTTAGTCAAAACTTTCCCCTATGACCTGTCTGTCTTGGGTGGCCCTACCTGGCAAAGCTCATAGCTTCTCTGAGTTATTCAAGCCCCTTCACCATGACAAGGCAGAGATCCATGAAGGGCATAAATCTTTACTCAAAGTAAAAACTGCAGATTATGGCATACTCTCAACATGTCCCAATTTTCCAGGGACAGTCCTGGAATTACAGAAGCCATTTCTGATTTTATCCCAGAATGTCCCACTTTTCCTTCTTCCTCCCCTCCATGTTTTGGAGAACAAATAAAAGTGGTGTGTTTTTATGTGTAGGTGCCAAAGCCCATTCCTGTTTCTACTTAAAATAAAATCCCTGCACCAAATGAAAGGAATGGTGAAATTGGCATTCATGGTAAGATGTAACCAATCCACTTTAAATTATTTAATTGCAATTCTTCTGCAGCCAGCCAAGTATGGAGGGTTGCAACACAGGCAATTGGCTATGTCATTTGCCAAAACCTTCTCTCTTGAGGAATTGGGGTTGAAACATCTATATTTGTCCAGGCCTTAGGCAGTTGTGCATTACATTATTCTTTTATTATTCTATTTCCTCTTCCCCCTTTTCTTCTCTGCCCTGCTATTTTGTCCCTCTCAGTTTCTCTTCTCACCTTTCTCCATCAGTCTTTCTTTTTTGAATTACAACCAGCCTCTCACTTATATTCTCTCGCCCTTCTGTACCCATTTCCCTTTCCACGGTTCTCATTCCAAGGCTTTTCGGAATGGGTGGAGCACTGGCTTACATGCAGGAGGCGCCTCTCTCTGGCACCTCCAATTAAAGGAAAAGCATGTTATGGGCAAAGCCTTTCTCATTCCAAGATTCTGGAGAGCTACTCCCAATGCAGAGTAGACAAGGGGTGGCCAACATGGTGAGCTTCATAGGTTGTTGAACCCCATCCATCAGTGCTATCAGTCCCAGTCAGCCTGGCCAATTGGCATGGATGGCTGAACCATATGGAGAACCATATTGGGAACCTCTACAGCTGAGCACTCACTGGGCTTGATAGGTTCATATATGTTTATCTTCTCCCATTTTGACCTCCAATAATGCTTCTGACAAAGTGTGCAAGATCTAAGCAATGTATTTATTTCTAGAATAGTTTCAGGAGAGGGAGGAACCCAAAGATGTTGTTGTTCTAATTGCATCAATTTCTACAAGCCAGAAATGTGGTGAGTGGACAGAGGCATTGATCCGTAGTCATCATCATCTCCACCAACCAGAAAGAGTAATGATTATTGGGTGTTTCTGATTATTAACCAATGCTGCAAATATATATGGAGAAATGCTGTATCTGGTTATTAAGCAGCTTTTGGAGTGCATTGTTCTGTGGGAGAAAGGAAGAGAAGAGTGTCAGGGAAAGTGGTAAGGAGGAAGAAAATGTGAGCAACTCATATGTATTTCTTTATTTGGAATCAGTGGCAGATGATGCCCATTGGGATTGGTGGCATGGGAGGCAGGGAGGCCAACAGCAGATGGAGCCAGAGCAAATGACAGCTGCAACCACAGTCAACGAGAGGCCCCCACCTACTGAGCTCTACAGGGGCAACACTGAGATGAAGGAGGAAGCTCTCAAGGAGTTCCACTCCTTGGCAGGTGGTCAGTAAGAAGGTTGGTGGGACCGTGTCCTATTTGCCTCAATGGGTCAGCCATTGTGAGGAACATGTGTATCTCACCATTCTAGTTCAAAACTGAGCCACTCAACACAGTTAAGAAATGCAAAAATTTTGGGGGTGGGAAACAGAGCATATAAAAATTTATGCCAATAAAAGAAGAGCAGATAAAATAAACAACACAGAGGTGTAAAATCCAAAGAGCAGAAGCAGCCAAGTATACTGACAGCAGCAAGAAAAGGTTTTGATATGTGGCCAGGAAGGACGGGTCCTCACTAAGGTCTTTGGGGGGAAATGAACCTTCAAATACGATAGCCACCTAGGCCAGCATCCCATGTGTAACTTTTGGCTGGGTTTTTCCCCCAGTCTCCAGCCAGTGGAAGCTGCCTCCTTGCAGCTGGGACTGAAGCTACTTTAATTCTAATTAACTGGAATCTGAGCCCCATAAGGCAGCCGAAGACAGAGTTGATAGTCCCCAACCAGGCCATTATCTAGAGCTGGGAAATAGGTAAAAAGGTAAAGGTAAAGGACCCCTGGACAGTTAAATCCAGTCAATGGTGACTGTGGGGTTGTGGTGCTCATCTTGCTTCAGGCCGAGGGAGCCAGTATTTGTCTACAGACAGCTTTTCAGGTCATGTGGCCAGCATGACTAAATAATAATACTATTAATCATAATTTATTATTTATACCCCACCCATCTGGCTGGGTTTCCCTAGCCACTCTGGGTGGCTTCCAACAGAATATCAAAATGCAATAGTCTATTAAACATTAAAAGCTTCCCTAAACAGGGCTGCCTGCAGCTTCTGCTGCAATGGAAAACAATGATGAAGGCAGAGCACATGGAAATGCCATTCACCTTCCCACCGCAGCGGTACCTATTTATCTAATTGAACTGGCATGCTTTCGAAATGCTAGATTGGCAGAAGCTCGGACAGAACAACTGGAGCTCAGCCCATTGCAGGTATTCGAACTGCCTGCCTTCTGATTGGCAAGCCCAAAAGGCTCAGCAGTTTAGACCACAGTGCCACCCGCGTCCCTCAGCTGGTCTCTAGCCAGACCCTGCTCAGGAGCCAGAATTGCTGGAGTCCCACCACACACACCACCCCAGCTGAGGGATGTAGAACAAACTCCTTCCTATCCATTCCCACAGCTAGGTCCAGATTGTCTGCTGCCCTTAGCAAATCAACCCCCCACTCAATTCCTGATAGCTTCAGGTGCTTTAATTATGATTAAGCATGGAAATCAGACCTCAGTTAATTTCAGTGATTTAACTACAGTGGCACCTTGGTTGTGGAACGTAATCTGTTCCAGAAGACCATTCGACTTCTGAAACTTTCGACAACCAAGGCGCAATGAGCAGTCGGCAAATTCAATTGAGACAATTGAGAAATGAGCTTCAGTAGCCGTTCGACTTCCGGGGTGCATTCAAATCGGAAGCATTTATTTCCAGGTTTCCGGCGAAAACCAAAATGTTCAACTTCTGAAGCATTCAGCAAACAAGGTACCACTGTACTCAAACTGTAGTGGTGATTCAGATTTGTGAATCTCTCTGAGACTAACTATAGCTCCTCAGATTCTGTTTCACACAGAGACATTCATACACATCTACAATAAAAAAATATTAGGATCAGGTTGCCTTACCAACATTCTCAAAGTATTTGATGTGTGCCTCAGGAAAGTTTTGCTCCAAAACTAATTTCTTAAATTTTTCTTTGATGTCATCTCCCACTTCCGATCCCCTAGCTTTAAACACAAGCAAAGGTTGAGTAAATTGTTGTTCTCAGAAAGGCTGAAATATCTGTTTTATGTCTATAGAGCACCCAAAGTCTCTTATTCTTGCCATCTTCTCTGGATTGTCCATTAGACAGTCAGGAACAGAACCCCCATGAAACCAGAGAAGAGGATCTAAGGAGGCCTGGCCAGACTTGGCCCTCTAGAGGTTTTGGGGCTACAATTCCCATCATCCATGACCACTGGTCCTGCTAGCTAGGGATGATGGGAGTTGTAGTCCCAAAACATCTGGAGGGCCATGTTTGGCCATGTCTGATCCAAAGGAACTGAAAGCCTACACAGGTGCTGACTGTCCCTATTTGCTAGTGGGAGGCTTTATGGTAGCTGCTCTTTCTGCTAGATCATTGTTAATATTGCAGCCCCCTGTTTCCTTTTATTTTGGGGACACCTTTTATCTTCATGTGAAGTGCTAAAGTGGCCGTTCTTTAGGGTTCAACCCCCTTTTCCAAAAAAGATATTCCTTCATCCCGGGAAGGGCTGATTATTCCATTAGCCACTTTTTATTCTAGAAGATTATTGTAGTCAAGATTTTAAATAGGTTTTCCTCCTTCTTTTTAACTCTGTACAGTACAGGTGACTGTTGACAGCAAAAAAGAGGGGGGGTGTATATTAGCCAGATAAGTAGAGATAAAGATATTCAATAATTTTGTATTCTATTTTTGTATGTTAACTAGAGCCGTAATTGGATTGAACAGAACTTAGGGTACCCTTCCATAAACTTAGGGTATCCGTCCAGATGTTTTAGGCAAAACCTTCTACCAGCCACCAAACTGTACTACAGGAGGAAATGGCAGGGCAGGGCCAACTCCTTCAGCACAGCAGAGTGAGGAGCAGCACTGGCTCTGCCTCCTTCCTTTGAACTTTTCCTGCTCTGGCTGGTCCACAGAAAAACTTGAAACTGAGCTTGCTTCTTTCCTCTCCTCCCAACCCATTCTCCTTTTGTGACTTTTAGGGCGTGTGTGTGTGTGAGAGAGAGAGAGAGAGAGAGTGAGAGAGAGAGAGAGAGAGAGAGAGAGAGAGAGAGAGAGAGAGAGATTTGTAACTTCTTTGTGGCTGAAGAGTGAGTTGAAAAACAGCAACACTAACTAACTAACTAGCATCCTTTTTGCTAAACCACAGATATGCCACAGGGTGGAGTGAGGGTTATTGGTTTGTTTGTTTTATGTTGTGAACTGCTCTGAGATCTATGGGTGAAGATCTGTATTTAATAAATAAAAATAAAATCCATTGCCATAACACATACCAGACAGATAGATGGATTCGTGTTCTAATTTCTTCTTGTGCATAATGATATACTTTTCATAATCAATATCCATGACTTTGGCAATACCATCTATACAGGAAACAACACAAGATATCAACTGAAGGATGTGGGTTCCTCATTTCTTGGCTGTTAGTGAAGGGGGGCAGGCAAATGGGGATCAGCCACTCTTAGTCACCTTAATTATTAATTCTTTCTCCCACCCCCTCATTAATATGTCTTCAGAATTTTAAGGGAGGTGAATCTCCATGACTTAATAAGTGTCCTGCCCAGGTCCACTGCCACAGATTGCCCTCCCTAAAGCAGGCAGTGGGAACCACCATTCCTTCACCCCCACACATTTCATCTTGCTCCCTGTCTTACTTTCCCCCTCTTTTAGCCATGGTGTTAGGCATGGCAGACTCCCCTTAGCTCTTGAGTCAGAGAAAAGGGCGTCCTTCTTAAAAGGAAGGTGTTTGTGTGGCCAAGGCCTTGCTTTGAGGAAGGACACCCCCCCCCCGCACCTCTTTCTCAATACAGTCATACCTCTAGTTGCGTTCACTTCATGTTGCAGATGCATTCTGCACGCTTCGCACATGCACAGAATGGCCGTGTGCACTCCATGCTTGCGCAGAAGCAGCGCTCTAGTTGCGGACTTTTTGGGGTGTTGTTTGCCTGGCTCTATTAAACTAGAACTTTTCCTGCGGCATCCCAAGGGCTTTGGAGAACCTCACTAGAAAAGCAAAAACTAGCTGTGTTGGTCCATTTCAAAAATAATAAAACCCTCTAGGTGATCATTACATTTATTTCAGCCAATCCTAGTGTCAGGAAAGACTGGCCAACTTTTAAGTTCTCCAGCACTCTTCATCGAGCACAATATTACCAAAATAATGATTAATTCACCCACCCACCCACCCAAAAAACCAATCAGACTGGGATGATATATATGAGGGCAGCTTAAAGGATCAGTTGCAAGATAAAGATTGTAGGGTGACAGAGTCCCTTCCCAGTACCATATAGATCAGTTGTCTGGCTGCCGGGGATTCTGCAATAAAGAAGCAAAGACTGCTCCCCAGGTCTGAGAACATAGATCCCAGCTGTAACCCAGAACTCCCTTGTGCAGCCTTGAGTGAAATACTCAAGTTCCTCCTGGTTAAGCAGAGGGGAGATCAAAAGAGAAAGCAGGAGTCTTCCATTTTGAAAAGCGCAAGATTAATTTTGGATGGCAACAAGGCAAATCATATCCTCCTAAGTTGGGAAGTGGAGGCATTGGTTTAACCATCTGCCATGAACCATAACTCAGGGGGCAAATCACTTCCTTTGAATGTGGAATGTCCCTGGTTCAATTCCTGATGTTGTGCAACTTAAAAGGATCCTGTCACTGGGATGGAAAGAGACTTCTGACACTGGGATGGAAAGAGCCACCGTCAGTCTGAGTGGGTCAAACTCAGGCAAACGGACAAATAGTTTTTGGCAGTTTCCTGTTACAGCGGTACCTCAGGTTACAGACGCTTCAGGTTACAGACTCCACTAACCCAGAAATAGTACATCGGGTCAAGAACTTTGCTTCAGGATGAGAACAGAAATCACGTGGCAGCGGTGCGGCGGGAGCAGGAGACCCCATTAGCTAAGGTGGTACCTCAGGTTAAGAACAGTTTCAGGTTAAGAACAGACCTCCCGAACGAATTAAGTTCTTAACCCGAGGTACCACTGTACTGTGACGTCTCTTGTACCAACCTTCATATACTGCTCTTTTGCTCTCAGATCACAAAACGCAGATGGAGATTTAAAAATATTTACATGTTTTGTTTGAACTGAGGGAAAATCAGCTTGCAAAAGAAGGGTTTGCATGAGGTAAAGATGGGCAAAGGACTTCCACATAACCAGACTGTTACATACCTTTAACTCCTCATTTGCCCTTCCTATCTCTTTGTTATTTAGACTGATAGTCTTATGCTGCATCCTCTTTTCAACCTCCTCCTCCTCCTCCTCTCACTTCTCTCTTGAATCTCAAGATGAGAGGTCAGCTTGGAACGATCTTCCGAAAGAACTATGGAGCAAGCATAGCTGCCTTTGTTTTCTCTAGGCTACCTAGGTTTAGTGAGACCCAGTGCTTTCTTTCAAAAAAAAAGTTTAGGGGTCCGCTCATATTCCTACTCATATTGAAATACTGCCCCCCTCAGTGAGGCCAAACTTAAACAAAATGTTTAAGGGTATGTGTACCCCTGTGTCCCCCCAGAAAAAAGCACTGGCTAGAACTAGAAACCTTTTTCTAGGCAAGTTATGTATTTCCTAAAATAAACAACCTAATTGGTGGGTGAGTGATTGCATTGCTCTCCCCCTCATAACTCGATTTTGCACTCAAAAGAAATGGGAAAAAGAACAGATGTTTTAACATTTGCCCAAATCACAGCATCTGGATCTTCCGATCACAAAACATACTTTTTCATCAGGTAATAGGGTGGCTCATGGTAGTCATATTTACCAGGAAATTCGAATACACCAGGTTTGTCAGTGTGCTTGAACACAAGAGCTGATTGTTTGCAGACACCATCCCTGGAAAAGAGAGCTAAGTGAAAGCACTTCAAAACCAGATACCCAGCCTGCTTCCTGCCTTGCCTCCTCTACTTGTATTTTTTAGGGTGTCAGAGCCACTGATGGAAGAATACAGTACCAGTAAGATGCCTTAGACTTTACCAGAGGGAAGGATAGCCAGAGTGTCAAGAGGAACGGCACCCTGTTGCTATCAATGCCTTCAAAATGAACAGGCCTTTTTGGAGGCCTCAACATTATTAAGTGGCCCTCTCAATAGCTACAGGAAAGGTTTCCGCAGTATTTCTCAATATCTCCATTGGCATTCCAGCAATCTTTTATTTATATCGCTATGCCCAACCTAAGTGGCTCTTTATGATATATTAAGATTAAACAAGACCAAAAAAAAGAGACAATAGGGGATGGGAAACATGTGGTCTTCCCTAAGCAGCAGCTCTGTACAAAATCTGGACATTTCTCCATCCAGCTCAATAATTTCTACACTGACTGGCAGTGCCAGAAACTTTATGCCCTTTCCAAAGCATCTCAAAATGATTTCAGGGGAAATCAGGGCTGTGGCTCAGTGGCGGAGCACCTGCTTTGCATGCACAAGGACCCCGGTTCAATTCCCAGACTATGCATGATGGGAGGAGAGGTATCAGTTGTAAGGTACTAACGACATATAATTAGCGGTGATTTTCATATCTCCATCCAAAACCTCCACCGTGAGGTCCATTGGTGATATTTTCTGATCATACTCAGTCAACTCAGGCAACTTGGAAGCTATCCCGATGGGGTGCCACTTCCCGACAGTCTAAAATAGAAGAATTTTGATTGACATTATATAGGGCAGAGAAAGTTGACAAGCAACCCACCTCATCTCTAGCATTTCCCTACCAGAGCTAGGAGCATGTATCAAACTCAGGCAGCTTGCTGATCACCAAGCTTGTGGGTCTGGGGGAGAGGAGAAGGGGGACACAAAAGCAACAGGGCCTTTACTCAAGAGCAAAGCTGCTCTATGGGTATCCTATCTAGGTAAGGCTTCCCCATCCTGTTACTGTGGCTGAAAGTCCCATCTGTAAACGTCTTACCTTTTGGGGGTCAAAGTTTGGGTACACAGGGATGTCAGCACTGACAGGAAATATGTAGGCAGGGGTCAGTCCAAACACCACCAGCAGCACAGCAATCATCCTGGAGCTGGTTCTCTCCTGCTCTTGCCGTGAACACCGTGTGCAGGGGGAGAGAATGATGGTCCAGGGTTGCAGCAGCCCAGTTTAAATATCTTCCTCCAAATGTCTTCAAAGCACATCCCACTCACCAACTTATGCCAAAGGGAAGAACAGAGTGGGAGCAAGAGGGTTATTTTTGAAGGGAATTAGTTTTATTTGTTGTGTGGAACAAGGTGGAGTCTCCTTTGTGCTTCAGAAGAAGGGAACATCTCACGTACAAAGATGTGGCTGGAGATTCGTCTTGCCCAAGTGGCCATTTGGCATTTGATCGAAGCCTGTGGAGACTCCTTTGTGCTTCAGAAGAAGGGAACAAACATGCTTGTTCTCTTGGGTTGTTGAGGGGGATGTTCTTGAGGGGGGTGTTCAAGGCTGGCACATTCCCTTCCTGGGCAAGTACAGAGGTCACAGGTGCTCCATGGCATCTCCTCCTCCCACCCCATCTCCATAAGCTGGCCCAGCCCTTAATGACTTGTGGTCTTTTCAGCAAAAGGAGTAGAAGACCTATCACAGAATGAAATACTTAAGCTTACCCAGGATATTACTTCACTGGACCACACATCCCAGGGGCTGGTGGTGGGAACTGCCACCTCAAGGACCTGATCAGGCCCACCAAACTTTCCCCAGTGGCAGCACTGCCCCAGGTAGGGGAATGAGCAGAAGACCAGCAGGTGAGGAACAATTGTCCTAACCATGGGTTGAAACTAGTACACCCAGCCCAGTGCCAAAATGGAAATATAGACCATCCCTTGCCACCCACCCTGCTCCCAAAATAGATCTGATGAGCGATGGGGAGATGGTCATCTAGTATTGTGGGAGAAATCCACCCTAAGCAGTTCATTCTGTGAAAAGCCTTCTACCTCTTTTGTGGGGCAAGGGACGGTGGCAGATGTAAGTCTTTAAGCTCTGGGCAAACTTGGGTGAGGGGAGGAAGGCAATGCCTCAGAGATCATGTTATCTTTGCACCCACCCGGGAATGGAATGTGCCAGCCTTCAAAAACATCCGCCTCAACATCCCAAGAGAACAAGCATGTTTGTTCCCTTCTTCTGAAGCACAAAGGAGTCTCCACAGGCTTCGATCAAATGCCAAATGGCCACTTGGGCAAGACGAATCTCCAGCCACATCTTTGTACGTGAGAGGTGGGAAGGAAGGAAATCAAAAGTAGTGATGTTATTCCTCTATAGGCTGCCATTGAAGGTCACTCCTCTTAGTTGCTGCAATGTACCTTGTTCCACCCACCCCACAAATAAACCAATTCCCTTTTTAAAAAATAGGCCTGTTAAGTAGCACTGTGTGTGGAGACAGCATTGACATAGTTAGCATAACAGAAATCTGGTGGAACACAGAGAACCTGTGGGACAGAGTTATTTCTGGATATAAACTCTGTAGGAAAGAGTGGGATGTACCAGAGATGGTGCCACTCTGTGTATCAAAGACAACACTGAGTCCAGCAAGCTAGAAATCCCCAAAAGGGCAAACATCTCCACAGAATTATTCAGTAATTCAGTACCGGGGATGTGCTTTTGTCCGCCCTGAACAAAACACTCAGGTATATTTTGAGCTGAAGAATGAAATCAAGGAAGAATCCAGAACAGAAGGCGTTGTAGCAATGGGTGAGTTCAACTACCTCCACATCCTGTTCTCACAGTGGCCAACCAGATGCCTGTGAGAGGCACACAGGCATAACCTGTGCAATGGCACTCTCCTCTCTTGCAGTTTCCAAAAACTTGTATTCAGAAGCATCTTTCCTTCAAGTAAGCTCAAAAGAGCCATGTTTTGGTGCTATATCTGAATTGGAAATCACAACAGGAGTAGGCTGTGTGTGCTGGTCTTGTCTCTGCCCCTAAATCCCCATTCCTAGCCTGCTCCATCCTCAATGACTGGAAACCCCACAGATCTCTAGACCTGCAGGCTATTATTTTGAGTAGAAACATGTAGGATTGCGCTGTCAGTTTCATTTCCTAGGCATTGCTTTAGCCAGATTCTCATAACAGGAGCTTATCACCATTGTATGGGGAAATCGAAGGTGAGGGGGATGTTTTTGCCTCAGCACTGTTCCTTTTGTTCCTTGGACTATTCAGAACACTTTGTAAACTCATTATTTTCTTTCATGATAGTTTTGCAAACGAGTAATGGGGAGGGGGGGTTACACTTCACAAACATCATCTAGCCCAAAATGAAGCACTTTGATATTTCATTAAGTTGCCCCATAACAGGATGTTTTCCTGGCAGCTTTCCAACCACAGAATAAAGCAAATTAAAATTCATTGATAGCAAAATGAAAGTGAACAATACAAAAATAATGCAGCCTAAAACTCATGGCACAAGGGATGACTCAAGAAATCTAGAACAGTGTTACAATCTATACAGAAAGTATTAAGAGGCCCTGGGGCGTGGGGAGTGGCTTTGTTTGATGCCGAAAAGGGAAAACTGCAGACACTAGGCTAGCTCTGCTGCAGAGGGTGTCCCAGAACTGAAATGCCACCACTGAGAAGTCCTTTTCACTAATAGCCACCTGTGTTTTTCATTTGATGGGGCAGCTAACAAAGGCACTCCAAATGGGTCTAGGCAGGGTATATTGGAAGAGGTGGTCCATCAAGTTCCCTGGCCCTATGCAGTGAAGGTCAAGACCAGCATTTAGAATTAGACCCAAGGCCAGTGGACAGAAAACCAATGAAGATGATGAAGCACTGACATGACATATTTATATTACCCATTCCCAGCTAGCAATACCACAGGGATGGGGGGTGGGGTTACAAAGAGTGTATTAAACTACTGTAGGGAACTGGGTCTACACTTTGCCAGCAGGTAATGAATGTATGGTGGGCAAGGCACTGAGCATGGGCCCAATTTATACAATAACAGGCCAACATATCCTCCCTTTTCATCTTTTATTCAGCGTGAGTGTACTGGGAAGAGTTTGTTTGGTCTCAGTAAAATCACCATAGATCTGGCTGGGTTCATGATGCCAAGATTGTAAAGGGAAAGGAAGGGGGACTAGGAAAGCCTAATTATGCCCTTCCGTACACAATTGCCTTGTGAAGTAGGCCAGGCATGTGCCAAGCTGCCTGGTAATCACGCTCCTCCAGGCCCCAAATGAGAGGGAATTCTGGGACTTTCCAGAAACTCTTAAAGATAGCATCCAGTTTACTTGACACTCCCTGAGGTAAAATAAAATTGTTTCACCACCACCACCAAGATTCCTCTCCATTTACAAGGCAAGCAGAGCTGGTGCCCACCTCTCTGTCTGTCCCAGTGAACAGAGCAGCCTGTTTTTCTCTGTCAGCCCCAATTCCTATAGCTCTGTAGCATGAACAAGGTGGCTTAGGCACACGGGGTTTTTTTCTACCAAGCCTGTGAGTTGGCAGCTGTGAACTCAAGACCCAACTTGTCAAATTACATAATGTTTCTTAGGAATGAAAAAGGCAAGGGAGAGAACAAAGGGGCAAAGCAAAATACTGAAAGCAAAAGGAACTCTCTAACTCTATCTTATCCTGAACAAGACAAATTGCTCCACCAACTAAGAATGGTCTGAACAAGTTACTGACAAACAGGCTTCTGGTCTCCTCATGAGTAACACAGTATAGCTGGCCAGTTGCAGGGTTTTCTGATGATCCATGAGGGACAAAGGACCATTTTCCTAGTCCTTTTTAAAAGCATTTTAGTGGCAGCTGGCATCTTCTAGCCAATTATAAGCCAGGTCACATTTGTCAGGCAGTCTGTAAATACCTGTAGGGACAGTGGGACTGGGATGGCTGACACATTATGGCTACATGATGTTAATCATTAGGATTTATCAATCTTCCTCCAGACAGGTTTTAATTGAGAAATTCTGGGGTGCTTAGGAAGGAGCATGCATTACTCTTGAGGCGTAATGGAGTTTATGGGTCCAGATTTTGCCCCAAAGAGACATTGCAATATTCTTTATCATCCCTTAATGCAAATCCTTTCACGAGCCTTTAGCCAAAATCACCCGAAAGGAGTGCTGTTGTTTTCAGAGAGTCCTCATGCCTAGTTCTGTTGAAGGCCTTTTGCATCTGTCTTGTTCATAGTCAGCACAATGAGTGGGTTCTTGCAGTCTCCAGACACAAAATGGAGGTCAGTTCCCTAGCTTTTCAAACATGAAAGAAAATAAAAACAGTGCATGTTAATTAAATGTGTCTCTCGTAATATCGGTGCTTTAATTGCTTCTTTGTCTTTCTCAGTACTAATCCAATTCCCTTTGGTCTTCCAAGTTTAGCCACATACTAATTGGGTTACTGCCTCAAGATGAACCAGAGGAGTAATTAATTTTATCACCTTTAAACCTTCAAACAGGCAGCTAGTGAATAAAACTGGGATACTCAGAGCATAGCATAATTTGTTTCTGATTTTCAACACTGGAAGATCCCAAACAATATTTCAATGGGGGAAGATCACAATATGGATATAAAAGGTAAAGGTACCCCCTGCCCGTACGGGCCAGTCTTGCCAGACTCTAGGGTTGTGCGCTCATCTCACTCTATAGGCCAAGAGCCAGTGCTGTCCGCAGACACCTCCGGGTCACGTGGCCAGCGTAACATCGCTGCTCTGGCGAGCCAGCGCAGCACACGGAACACTGTTTACCTTCCCGCTAGTAAGCGGTCCCTATTTATCTACTTGCACCCGAAGGTGCTTTCGAACTGCTAGGTTGGCAGGCGCTGGGACCGAACGACAGGAGCGCACCCCGCCGCAGGGATTCGAACCGCCGACCTTTTGATCGGCAAGTCCTAGGTGCTGAGGCTTTAGCCCACAGCGCCACCTGCGTCCAATATGGATATAGTTGCATACTAAATAATGAGCCAATATATTCCATAGTGCTGGAAATAGCCATAGAAGAGCCTCCCCAAACCTGGTGCCCTCCAGATGTTTTAGGATGCAAGACTCCCAGGCAGCATGGCCATGCTGCTTGGGGGTGATGGGAGTTGTAGTCCAAAACATCTGGAGGGCAGCAACGTTAGGAATGGTTTGCATAGATA